ATTTATAAATAATATCTACACCGGTTTCCTCCATCTTTGTTATCTTTCAAATCTTTATCCTTTTAAAGGAGACTATATGTAAAAAGTGATCACAATATCCATCTCCTCCCAGTTTCCTCGCCTTTTTACTTTGTACAAAATAAAAGCTTTTCCAGCGAAGAAAAGGTAGCAAGTTCAATGAATAAATTTGCCAGAGTCTCTCAAAAAGTGATCAGATTTTCGGAACTTCCGGTGGATTTGCGCGGCGATGGCGGCTACCTTCTAGCCGTCCTCCTGGGTAAGTGTAATGAATCGCTATGAACAGCGTACAACAGCTGTTCAGCGGTTCAAAATCCCCCTCCCGGGCAAAGGGGGGGAAGAGGGTTGTCTGAATAGTGGTAGAGCCTCTTATGTACCCCCAATTTCTTTTTTTGGGAGGTGACAGAGTGCTCCCACGGAGTTCAGACTGTCTCCGCTTCCCAGCTGCTTTTGTCCCTAGGGACAAAACAAGCCGTTGCAATCACCTCCGCGCTTAAAGGGACCTGGTGAGTTTTTTTTAGAAGCGGACAGAGTTGATTAGAGGATTTACTTTTTGCTTTCTTTGATTTTATATGTATTTTAAGTTTAAAGGTTTATTTTCATGTTTATATTCTCTCCTTTTACTTTTTACTTTGTGCTGAAAGGGAAAGTAAAATGGCGATCGGCAGACTTTCTAGCGTTTTTTTTTCTGGGAAGCTAGAATGGCAATCGGCTTCTTTTACTTTCTCTTTTCTTTTCTTTTTAATGATTGGATGGATCTTAGAAGCATTATTATTTTTGTTGTTTAACTTTTTAAACATTATTGTTTTTGTTTGACTTTTTTGCTTTGTCTTTTGTACTTTTAAAAGGCAGGCTTTTTGGTGTTTTTTCTACCCCCCCCCTTTTTTTTTTAATGATTGGAACGGATATTTTAATTCCTTTTTTCTTTTTTCTTCTTTTCTAACTCCCTTTTTTATCATTATAAAGATTTTCTTTTGAGGGAGTTATGATTTTTTTGAAGGAATTTTTGTAATTCTCAAGAAGGAGTAAAGTTTTTTTTTTTTTTTAAGATGGCTCCAAAGCGTCCAGGGACTTTTACAGTTCCTAAATCAATAGTTTCACCCTCTTCTGTGGTCCAACCAGCAATTGTGAAGGATTTGCAAGACATGATGGGAAATGTTACAATTCAAATTAGGGCAGAAATGAAAAAGATTTTAGAGGAAAATAACAAGATTTTGAGGCAAGACATAGTTTTGGCTTTAAAAGGAGTTGCTTCTGTTATTGAAAAGTTGAATTCCCGTGTGGAAGAAGTAGTTGAAAAAGTGGAATTAATGGAGGGAAAAATTGAAAGTATGGAAAAGGAAATGGAAAATGAGATTCTTATGCTTCAATATGGACAAATGGAATATGCCTTAAGAATTAGAGGCTTGGGAGAGTCCTTGCAAGGAGATCTGAAAGAGATGGTTGCAAAGGACTTTGCTGTGATTTTGAATAAAGAAAAAAAGGAAATACTTAGTGAAATTGAAAAATTATTTCGAGTTAATTCTGTGGTGGCAGTGCAAAAGAATTTGCCAAGAGATGTGGTAATTTACTTTGGGAAAAGATCTCTACGCAATGAAATTATACAAGCTTTTTATAAGAAGAGATTTCAAATTGCTTCACAAGATGTTATAATTTTAAAGGAGATCCCATCTAAAATTTTAAGAAGAAGAAAGGAGTTTGCTTTTTTAGCAAATGAACTTAAAAAGAGACGAATTTCGTTCAGATGGGATGTTCCGATTGGAATGGTGGTGAACTACCTGGGGATATCTTATAGACTTAATACTGCTTCTCAAGCAAAATATTTTTATACTTCGGTCTTGGGGGTATGTTCATCGTCATCTATTAAGTTTAAAACCTTGGAAGAAAAGAATGTAGAATTACAGTTTGAAGACCCTAAAATTGGGGAACCTTTGCCTGAGAGATCTCAACACGTTCAGATTGAGGAGCAGAAGATAACTTGTGTAGCACATAACTGTAAAGAAAAGCAACAACAGAAGAAGATTAAGGAAGTTTCACATCTAGTGGTTTCTGAATCTGTGGGAGAAGCAAGACTTATAAAGCTTTTGGAGCAATCTTCAAGGATGGAATTGTTGTCTGAAATGAAAAATGGGAAATCTCAGCTTGAGGAGTTTCAACAAGTTGAGAGGAAGGGGCAGAGGACAATTCGTGCAACATATAATTGTAAAGAAAAAGACCAACAGAATAAGGAGTTTAAGGAATCCCCACATGTATTGGCTTCTGAGTTGTTGGGAGATCCAGAAATTTTGGAGCAATCTTTAAAGCCAGATCTCAAAGCACTTCTCTTGAGTTTGATAAGGTTAAAGACGAATATTCAAAATTAGAGAATGATAAGGATGGAGAATGAAAATGGACAATCGAGATTGATAATAATAATATCAGTATGATAATGGATGGAGAATGAAAATGGACAATTGAGACTGATAAGGATTGTGTTTTTTTTGTGGATGGAATTTGTTATTGGTGAAGATTTAAATGTTTAATGTGTTTATTGTGGATGGAATTTCTTATTGATAAAGATTTAAATGTGTATAAGGGATTTTTTAAGTTTTAAGTAATGTTTAAATTTGTGTTTTGGGGAGTTTATAAAAATGATAATAATATTAGCATGATATTAGAAGGTTTGGAATATACTATAATGTGTTTAGTGTCTGGGTTTATTTATTGTTTTTTTCTAATTATTATTATTACTATTTTTAAGATGGAATTTGATTAAATGTGTATAAGGGGATTCTAATGTTTAAAGTTTTAAGTAATGTTTAAATTTGTGTTTATGTTTAAATTTGTGTTTTGGAGGGAGTATAACTTGTTTAACTAAATGTATTTAGATTTGTTTATGATTTATATTAGATTTTATATTATAGTTATAGATGTTCAAAGAAAGTAGTGCTTAAAATTGTGTTTTGGGAGGAATTTATATAGAATGGTGGATAATATTATAAGCATGATTAGAAGATATTCAGAGTATATTATAATGTGTTTAATGATTATTACTTTTTAGAGATAATCTATTCAATTTAGAATATTAAGATTTGTTTAGGATTTATATGTGTTTTAAGTTTTATATATGTTTTAAGTTTTTTCTTTTTTTCTTTTTCTTTTGAAATATTTTGGATAAGCCCGTAATCAACTCTGGGAGGTCCAGGGGAGGGTTAGGGAGGTTTGGGGAGTTGGGGGAGGGTACGGGAGGCTGGGGGGGTTTGGGGAGGGGATTTGTCTTGTAAAATTTGAAAAATTTTCAATAAAAAAAAAAAAGTGATCAGATTTTCAATCCTTCCAGACACCATAAAGGTAAAAGCAAACAGTATTCTTCAAATATTATAAAAAACTTTCTTGAGGCTCCCAATCTCCAAAGATAAAATCAACAATAAAACAAAAATAAATTTAATCCTTTGTGCTTCTCTTCCCCCATTTAAAAAGCCGCTTCATCAGAAAAGGGAGTAATTCCAAAGGGGAAAAAAAAACCTTTTCACAGGCATAAAGAAAATAGAGGTAAAAGGAAAGTCTCACCAAGTTCTCCACGGTGGGTCCGTTTGCTTAGTTGATCTTGTGGCTTGCGGTTGGCGCAGCTAAATGATCAGCCATTTTACTGGCCGATCTTTACCCTGTCGGCCCAAAGGAGATATTCGGTGCACAGAGGACACCATCTTTTCGACCCTCTAAGGAGTCTACCGGCAGGGGAAACTCGATTGGTGAAGGGACGACTCCCTTCGCTCAACCGCACCGCCGCGAACCGGACAATTATTCATCATTACTGAATCCTGTTGAATATTTTAAGACCATACAAATAAGACTGAAACACAAAGAAATAGCTTAATCTGGCTACTTCTCACTTCTAATAAATGCAGCTGCTATTTTTATTCAAAAGTTGCTCAATTTGAAAATCAACTTGTCTTTAGGAATTGAGGATTACATTGAATTTGAATAAAGAAATATTGAAGAATGTATTAAGAATATTGGTTTTTTAGAATGTTGATTTCAATTTTGTAAAGTTATAGTTATATGTTGTTAAAAAGGTACACTGAAAAAACCTTAAAGTATGCATGCTCAATATTCTATCAAGATATGAGATGTTTCTATTATTAATTATGAAGAGACAGAAGTCTTATCATTGTTTTTATGACAAGTTTCTGGTACTCCCTATGGTCCAAGAATGATCACAAAGAACATCTTGACCAGATGGACAAGCACAGACTTTGCTGAATGATATGATCTATAATATAACCCAGCAATCAAGCTAATTGAACTAAGGTAACCCAGTAATCAAGCTGAAGTAATCTGGGATTACTTATACAAGAGAAGAAGTCTGAACCCACATCTTGTAGTCCTTGACTTACAAGCACAATTGAGCCCAAAATTTATGTTCTTAAGTGAAGCATTTGTTAAGTGGGTTTTGCCCCATTTTACTACTTTTCTTCCTACAGTTGTTAAGTGAATCACTGCAATTGTTAAGTTAGTAACATGGCTGTTAAGTGAAGCTAGCTACCCCATTGATTTTGCTTGTCAGAAGGTCACAAATGGGGAACACATGATCCCGGGATATTGCAACCATCAAAAATATGAGTCAGTTGATAAGCATCTGAATTTTGACCATATGACCATGGGATGTGCAATAATCATAAGTGTGAGAAATGGTCATAAGTCCATTTTTCCAGTGCCATTGTAACTTTGAATGTCACTAAATAAACTATTGTAAGTCGAGGACTACTTGTAGGTTCATCTCGAAGAAGCTCTAAGAGGATTTTCCAGGCCTATTTGGCACCTGGCTAATACAAAAAAGGGGTTTGATATATATGTGAGATGTGAAAAGCTTATTTTAATAAATTAAAGCTCTCAAAATCTACCAATGGTCTTCTGGTGTGGTTCTCATTAAGTCTGGTGCGGTGCTAGATAAATAATTCATAATTCTATAGAAGAGGACCAGCCTCTTTTGTAACACTCACCATTGACAGATCTCTATTGTTGTTCTTCAGTTTCTCTTCTTGCCTCTCTGAAAAACATTAAAAATATTAGACCAGTTTACAAAATCAGAAACCTACTTCCAATAAGCCAAGTATCATCTTCTAAAACATTTTATGATAAAACAAAGAGGTATATTGGTAAGTCTGAAGATTCAGTTCAACTACCCATGTCTTAAAAGCGTACATAATACAATGGAGTCCCCTTTTCTTCAAAACTTTGTAGGCACTGATAAACCCTGTGTTGTAAGGAAACTTCCAACTGGAAATGGAAGGTCACAACTATTTATGTACAAATTGAACTTCATGACTACATTCCAGAATTAAGAACTATGTCACTGCTGTTCAGTTTTAAAACAGGGAAAAACATAAACAAAAAATATGCATAGGCAGCTCATGGGTTGTATGCGTCTCCTGTAGCCTCTGCTACTGTCCTATTTAGATACACTTACTGCCCACTCCTGATATTCTGCCAATTGGTAGCTTGGATGCTGCTGTAGAGCATTGTATGCCAAAACAATTAGACACGAAGATAGTCATCGTCCCCCCGCTCCCGGTGCCATCACTCTGCTTAACACTTAATTCCCACAGCACTGTCTCATTTCTCATCTTTTTTCCTCTTCTCATTTTTCCTATCTTCTATTGATTTCTTATGATTTATCAATTGTTATTTGTAACTTATGATTAATGACTGTAACTATGTTTATGACCTATGACTTGCCGTTCATATGTACACTGTGAGCTTATGCACCCAAGACAAACTCCTTGTGTGTCCAATTACACTTGGTCAATAAAGAATTCTCTTCTCCTCTCCTCTCTTCTGTAGCACACATAAATTTCAGCACTTGACATTACCTATTTTCTTTTTCTGCTGTCGGCCAGCTGATTCTGTTATTGTTTCCTTCTTTTTTTCCACTATAGAGATTAGACAACACAGTCAGTTATTTTCATTAACAATTCCTCCTTAGAAAGCCACCTTTCTTCTCATTGCTTTGCACCCACACCAAAAATCTAAAGATATTATGAGTAGTTTATGGGCGTATATAAGTGGAAATCTGTAAATAAATGTGTGTCTCATTTACCTGTGCAATTCATAGAAGATAGCAGGAAGACCAATTTGCCCCACCCAGAAAAGCTTCCCAGTCTTCTAATTATAGCAGAAAATGAAAGACTAAAAAAATAACATGCTGTGGGAATGCTTGCTTTGCCAAAATCAGTTTATCTTGCAATGAATTATAATTTGCAAGCACAATTGGTCTTATTGAGGGAAAGAGATGAAACTTGCTCAAAATATTCTCTTCTATTGGAAGTTTGCTCATTTTCAGGGAAATAAATGTGCAGGTTCAGAATCAGGTTTCCTGTGTATTTTATGGGTTTTATAAGAACATCCCATATTTATTTTTTGAAAGAATTGCATTGTAAGGTCCTGCCTCAGCTGTCTATTTAGGAAAGCATGACTCTTGAAACAAGCGTTATTTCAAAAGGATCTTTTACTGAAGGAAAATGTTTGCAGTTTCTGCACAAATCATTAGCCTAATTTCCAATTGTTCAAATCCCATCCCAAAACCCCAGTCCACCAGGAGCTGGCTTGATGGTATTATGGAAACTCCCAAGATGAGAAGGTGATAACAAGTTGTCTTCTTGGCGCCTGACCTTGTCTTCTTGGCGCCTGACCTAAGCTGAAACTGGCGGAAAAGGAGTCCATCCAGATGGCCCTGATGGCCCATTCCCCCTCCCTATTGATCCAATACATCAAAGGGAAAGCAACAAATTCTTCAAACCCCAAATAGCCATCCCCCTCCACTTGGAATGGCAGCATTCCGAAAGAGATCTGATATACATATTTGCATTTAAAGTTACCATTTCTGTTTGGATTACACCTGTTTAATTTCATATAACAGAAAATTGTGAGAAAGAAGAATCTTTACTGATTTGGGAGAAAATTAATTAATCTTCCAATTGTTTTTAATATGACTGCAGGTTTCATAAATACTTGCAGGCACTGTTGCTTGGTATATATATTTTAAGAACTATCAAATTACAGATGTACAGGAGTTACCATTCATATTGATAGGTTGGGGGAGAGAAAATTATTCCTGAGAGCTCAAAATACATCCAAACTGTCATTCTAATGTTCACCTTGCTTACAGAAGTTTCTTTTCTACTTCATTTTGGATCAAAGAGTCCCAGTTAATTTGCAAATTTTTGCAAAAACTCATTTGTAAGATGTACAAATGCAGAATATACATAAAATTGCAGAGTTTATATGTCTGCCAGCTAGCTTTGCTAGCTATTGTTTTATATACCATTCCTTTGCAACATGTATCTCATTTGGGGAGCACTGGCTGCTGGGGTTATTGTATATAGATCACAAACCAACCACAAAGATCTCTAACTACAACTCAGTCTACCAAAAAATGTAACTCAGCCTTACATAAGAATGTAAACAAAAAGATGTAGGCAGGCAATTTAGCTTAAGTTGGATACACTATTTGACAGCCATTTTTGTATAATTCAATCATCCCCCCCCCCCCAAAAAAAGTGGATTACGAATTCTTAGTGTCTTTTATTATCATCTATGTCAGGGGTGTCAAGCTGCCGGCCCACAGGCCGGTTTCATCATATGAAGCCGTGCCCACCCCATTGTCAGCAATGCAAAAAGAGTCGTTGTCAGAATCCAATTATATTTCATCTCTAGTTATCGACTATGGAAAACCCCATTTCTGCCCTCTCTGGATTCTGTCATACGATGAAGGGGAAGGGGGGTGAACAAAGGGGTTTTATGGCCCTCACTTCCTTCGGTACAACTTCAAAGGGACTGAATGTGGATACCATCAAAAGGACTAATCATAACAATGGGGCCAGCAGCTTTCATCTACTCATCTCGAAGTCTCCCTTCCACAGGCAGTGAGGAAAAGGGGGGTGGAAATGTAACCCCTGGGATTGTCGCTGGAACGATAGTGGGGTGGGGCTGCTGGGGACCCCTTAAAACCTTGAACCGTAGGGCTTGGGCCCCAGGTCCTGTCTAGAACGCCTGCAACCATTTTCTCTTAATAAAGATGCCTGTTGGAAGAAATATTCCAAAAGTTCTGTCTTCTTAAGATGCAAAGTGGGTTGGGTCCTTACAGCCGCGATATGTCACGATACAACACGTCAAGTGATGTGGTGAGTTTGACACCTGTGATCTATGTAATCAATCCTGTGATGTATTATTTTTAACTGGAAACATCCATTCTACTTTGCACTATACTTTCTCAATTAATTATAACTCTTCTTCATATTACTTAATATCAGCAGTAGCAGTTGAGGATGAAAAGGATTCCAAGATTGCCAAACCTAAATTGTAAATTATACCAACAATATCTACAGTATTTGTTGGAGTGAATTTATAATGCCATAAATTCGTTTTACCTTATTCTATAGGATAAAATATTTCATGCTGCTATTGATTTATTCTGTTATTAAATTTTAAAATTATATCTATTATTCTCTTGAGCAGCTCAAAAAATACAGTAAATAGAGTGGCTAGATTGATTTAGTATATAAAAATATAGCCACTGTATGCACTGAAATGAGCTACAATTTATAAAACCTTAAGCCTTTGAATAAAAATTGTTAGTCAGAAAAGGTGCTGTTAAGCTCCTTTAGATTCATTCCTCCTACAATGTCTCCATTCACAGAGGGATTCTGCTTTAATACATAACTCACAAATCAAGATCCTTTTCAAGAAACACTTACTAGTCTCACATGAAACTATTACAGTATAATTACTATAATACTATAATATTGTAGTATTAATCACAATTAAAGATCATAAAAATATATTTGATTTAATTTGAACTAATATAGGAAGCATATAAGGAACATATAAGGAATGGTTGCTGGAATTGGGTATGTCTAGTTTAACGAAAAGAAGGACGAGGGGGAACATGATAGCAGTGTTCCAATATCTCAGGGCCTGCCACAAAGAAGAGGGAGTCAAGCTATTCTCCAAGGCGCCTGAAGGCAGAATGAGAAGCAACAGATGGAAACTGATCAAGGAGAGAAGCAACTTAGAACTAAGGAGAAACTTCCTGACAGTTAAAACAATTAACCAATGGAACAACCTGCCTCCAGAAGCGGTGAATGCTCCAACACTGGAAGTTTTTAATAAGAGACTGGACAGCCATTTGTCTGAAATGGTGTAGGGTTCCTGCCTGAGCAGGGGGTTGGACATGACCTCCAAGGTCCCTTTCAACTTAATAATAATAATAATAATAATGATAATTAGTATTTGAGTTATGATAAGACTAAATTTAGCATTTATTTGCAAACATACTCACATTTTTTACTCTGTTTCTCCACTTCCGCTTTCAGTCTTTTATACTTATCTGTTCTATACACCAGAATCCATGTTATGCCTGAAATAAACATAAGACAGAAAAAGATGTACAACAACTGGGCAGGAACACAAAAATCTTCAGACCAGTGGGTTCTATCACTACGGCAGAATATCTAAAGCATTTTTTTTTTTGCATTTTGATTAATTGGGGTTTGCCCATTTCACCACTTAAAACATTCAAAGTCTGTTCTCATAATTTAAAACTCAACTCCATGCCTTTTACTTTTGGACTGCAGCTAGCATTCTGCAACGTAAAGCCTGATGTGGCCCTTGAACCAACATTAGTTATTCATATCTGGCATAACAAGTAATAAGAACCTTGATTGTATAGTGAGAAGAAAGTCTCACACCTGGTTAATGTTTTATGGTTAATGTCAAGGTTCCGACTAACAAAACCAACCAAGCAAACACTTTCCAGACATTCTGATCTCTTATGGCTGCCATGGGTCCCATTCTCTATCTGGGCTGAGGTAATATCTTTGAAACAGCCACTGCAGGCTGGCTGGATCCAACTCTGGGAGGCAGTTCTAGTCTCCTTGCTGGCTTTCTCCCTCAGCTGCTCAACTGATGGGCTGCAGCAGGCCATCAGAAACCCCCATTGCATCAAGTCTTCCCACTCAGTGGCTCACTTCTCTTTCCACCTCGGGACTTGGGTGGGCTCCAGCCCAGGGGAGAGTAGTGGGAACTCAGCTTCACCCGCCTTTGGCATCACAATCTTCCGTATCTCCTCTGCTGTCAACGCAAACCCATCTCTCACTGCCAGTGGCTTCTTTTGGCAGGTCATCATCACATGAGCTCCAAAGTCCATTTGGCCCATGGGTTGGCCGTTCTTCGCCGGACCCATCCCGCCCATCTTCCCCCGAGTCTTCACATTTCTTCTAGAAGCTACCAGACAGGCTTGCAGGGACTCAGGACCCCTTGAAGAAATTTTTCTTTCTGGTTTAATATCAATGTTCCAACTGACAAACCCAACCAAGCAAACACCTGTGAGACATTCCAGCAAGACTCCTCCCAAACTCATATAGTAAAAGCATTGAATCCTTCCTCTGGGTGGTTGCCCAACCAAGTGGAAAAATATTGTTATGAGAAAGTATCTTTAGGTTTGGCCAGACACCTGGTGTAATGTCCTTGAGTCTCACAATCTGGCTTCTTAATCTTTGAAGTCTGCATTCCAAATCTTTCCCCTCCCCCCAAGTTCGTTAGCAAGCTGAGAAGTAATATTTGTCGCACCAGCAAAACCGTGCACGTTTAATTGTCATTTGCATATAAATGTGGATACTTCAATTGTGATAGTTTTGACTGAACAGAATTATATTTCTAACTATTTTTAGCTCCAAGCAATGGATCAAGGAATTCAAATATGACTATTTTAATCCTCCCTGGCAAAATAAACCAGCCAAGGTCTGAGGTGGATGGAAGAGGCATTTCAGGTGGGCACCTCTTTCTGAAACACCTGAGAAGTCATCCAGCACCTTTCTGATTCCCTTCCCTATTCCGCTGCCCTTTTGGCTGCAATGCAAGCATCCACTTCCATTCTCTCGACCAGAAAGAACTCGAGCCCCTATATTTATCCCGCCAGCTTCCCGTCAGAAGTCCAAAATCTACTCTGGCATGATCATGGAATGTCAATGCCAATACTGCTTGAATGTGTACGAAGTTGCAACAAATACAATTAAAATTGGTTAAAGGAAGAAGATCCTGAACTGTAGCCACCATCCTGTTCTCCTCCCTTCTCACTCGGAGAATTATACCTTCCCTTTCCCCACTCACCCTCTGCTAACAAAGCGGTGCAGACCGAAATGAAGACAATAAGGATAGTATCAGCGAACATAGTACTCATCTCGCAGATTCAGCAGCAACAGTTTCTTTCCGGAAACTAGGCCCAAACGGAGACTAGAGCATATCGATATTTACGTTCTAGAGTGCGTAACTTCCGAGTTGACCGGAACTCCCTGCAGGACTATGCGCATGTCTATCTATTTGAGTTGCATTGGAACGGCGGGCGCAGGAGATCCGGGGCTCAGCTGGACCCGAGAGCAACAAAAGAAGCTGTTTACAAAAGTGGGGGGAGGGGAGATGTGTGCAAGTGTGGAGGCTTGGCATCAGCGTACCAAGAGTGAAAAGGTTGAGGAGCCTATTATATTAAGGGGATGGGTGTTGGAGGTTGCAAGGCGCATGTTTTGCTGCACTAGTGAAGCCGCACTTGAAATACTGGGTCCAGTTCTGGTTACCATGACATAAAGAAGATGCCCCTAAAAAATGCATAAAGGGTCTAGAAGCTAAACTTTATCATGAATGGTTAAGGGACATATGTCTAACCTATCAAAGAGAAGGATTAGGAAGTGATATGATAGCTCTCTTCCAGTACTTGAGGGGTTATCATAGAGGAGAGGGGACTTTTATTTTCCAAAGGACCAAAGGGAAAGATAAGTAATGAGTGGAAACTTGTTAAAGATCCAGCCTAGAACCAAGGAGGAATTTCCTGACAGAACATTTAATTTTGCCTTTTGAAATTGGTGCTCCATCAGTGGAGGTTTTCAAGAATATGCTGGACAACCATTTGAGTGGAATAGTATAAGATCTCCTGCCTTGAGCAGCAGCTTGGACTAAAAGTCCTCTGATTCTGTGTTTTGTGACTGACTTCCAGGCAGCATGATGCAATTATCTAAGCAGATCCATCCTCACATTTTACAACAATGGAGCTTGGCAATAAGGTAGTGATGTGAGGTCCTTTCCAACCCTATAATTTTACGATTCTATTGTGTTCTATAAACCCTGTCTAGTTTTTCAAAAGGGTCCTTTGGACAGGAAGCAGAAAGGCGAGGGAGAAGGCAAGAGAGAAGCTGAATTTTAAGAATGAGGTACATGACTGGCTTGGACAGGCGGCTTCTGCTTTTTTGGGGGGGAAGAAAGGTGTTTTATAAATACTGAAAAAGACTATATTTTACTTTGATATATATTTTATTTGGATACTAAAAAGGAAAAAAGACAGAAAAGGTATTTTTCTATATATATATATATATATATATATAGGTCTTTGGTTGTTCGGGTTTTCTCCCGCGTAAAATTGGAAGTGTCTTGGCAACGTTTCGACGAAGTCACATTCGTCATCTTCAGGCTGGTGTTTTTAGCTTCTTGCTTTGAGCAGCAATGTGTGGTTTTAGCTGTTTCTTCCTTTTAACTGCCAGTGAGGGTATGAACTGATTGGATGGGAGCTTGGCTGTGTTCTGATTGGGTGGAGGTGTGTTCTGAATGGTTAGGGGCTTGGCTGTGCTCTGATTGGCTGGGGGAGTGTTCTGTTTGGTTGTGCTCAGGTTAGTCTGAGTTGCAGAGGGGTTTAAGATTTTGGGGTTAGGGAGTCGTTTGTCAATAAGGGCAGGTTTCCAAATGGCTGGTAGGCGGGAGGTATCATCTCGCTTGTTCATGCTGTGTGGGCGTTTTTCTATCTCGATGGCTTCTCTGATTATTCTGTTATTAAAATGTTCACTTTTGGCAATGGTTCTGGTATTTTTAAAGTCAATTTCATGTCCTGTGGCTTTAAGGTGTTGGACCAGGGAAGATGTTGGTTCCTCTTTTTTGACTGAGTTCTTATGTTCTTCAATGCGTGCACTTATTCTTCTGTTGGTTTGTCCGATGTATGTGGTGGGACAAGTGGTGCATGGGATTTCGTATACTCCTTGATTTTCTAATTCAATTTTATCTTTGGGGTTTCTAAGGATGGTGGATATTTTTCTGTTTGTGCAGAATGCTGTTTTGATGTTGTGTTTATGGAGGATCTTACTGATTCTGTCTGTGGTGTCTTTTATGTATGGGAGGAGGGCTTTGCCGTTTCTTGTTCTTTGTCTTGGATTTTAGTGGGGGTTTCTTTTTGGATTAGGTTTGTAATCTTATTTCTATGGAATCCATTGGATGTTAGTACATTGGTGAGAGTGTGTAGGTTCGGGTTTTAGGTGTTGTTCGTCAGCTAAGCGTTTTGTTCTGGAGATGAGTGTCTTGGCTACAGAGTTGATCTGTGCTGGGTGGTGGTGTGAGAGAGCGTGCAGATAGCGGTTTGTGTGTGTTTTCTTCTGGTAGATGGTGTGTCCTAGGGAGCCATTGGATTTCTTGTAGACTAAGACATCCAGGAAGGGAAGTTGGTTGTTAGCTTCAACAAGCTAACAAAAGATAGAAAAAAGGAATTGATTTTTGGAAAAGACTTTTTTTTAACTCACTGAGGGGATCCAGTGCAAAAGTTTAATATTGCAACTTCTGCTTATTTTCCTACTGAATTTCAAAATACTTTTGAGGGAAAGATAAGCTATGCAGCTGTGGAAGCTGTAGGGGTGGATGTTGTTTGCATTAAATATAGCCTCCACAAAAAAGAAAAAGAGATCTTCTTTTAAGCATTAGTATTAAAATGGAGAAACCTCAGCTACAATTGAATTGTGCACTTATATTGTAAAAGATTTATGAGGCCGCTGCAGAAATATATGCTACATTTAAAAACTGTACTTTAGAATCAAGATCCAGAGACTCTACTACATTTGTTCAAACTGATGTTCAGGCTACAACTGACTATGGTATAAATCAAAATGTACCAGAAGAGGAATTTACAGAGATAGAAGAGGAACTTATTTCGTCTGAAAACCCTCTCTTCAGCAACTTAGAGAATCAGAAGAAGCAAAGACAAAGATCTCAAACTGCAAAGCAACGACGCTGCAAGGAGAAGAGAAAAAGACGTTTACTGCAGAGAAAGGGATTTATATTTCTTCAAAGATTACTACAAGCAACAAGGATGGATTTATGGTTGAAAGGGAAAAAAGACGTTTACTGCAGAGGAAGGGATTTATATTTTCTCAAAGATTATTACAAGCAACAAGAATGGATTTATTGGTTGAAAGGGAAGCGCTTTTATGGAAACCTGTGTGGCATAGAAAAAAACCTAGAATTAGACTGAAAAAGAAATTTAAAACTGTTTAATGGTAAAAGGCAACGCTGGTTTTATGGATTGTTTTAAGGATAATGATCTAGATTTAGAAGTAAGGAAAATTCAATTATATACAGGTGTGTTTAAATTAGTTAGATGATTTTTTTTTTGCTTTATGGAAATTTGCTTGGTACAGAAATATGAAAGTTAAAATTGGAGTGAGGTTTTCACGGGTGTTTGTATGTAGGTCTTTGGTTATTCGGGTTTTCTCCCGTGTAAAATTGGAAGTGTCTTGGCGAAGTCCCTGAAGATGACGATTGGGACTTCATCAAAACGTCGCCAAGACACTTCCAATTTTACGCGGGAGAAAATCCGAATAACCAAAGACCTACATATATATGTATGTATGTATGTTCTGGAATTGAAAAAACGTTTAGCTATGAGAATGGAATTTTGAAGTGCTTAAATTGATTAGGTGATTTCTGAGTATAACAATATGATCTGATAAGGTATGATAATTAATTGGATGGAATTTGAAGTTTCTGTAATGAATTGAAAGGAATTAAGGTTTAACATTTTTTCTTAATTAAGTTAGTTATTATTGGAAGAAGAAATGAATGAGATTGGTGATAGAAAGGGATGAAAGAGATTAGGAACTTCAACATATCTGGTAGAGATATTTGAAGTAATAATTTGTTGTAAAACAATATTTGATTATGGTAATTGTAAATTGATAAAGTTTTAAAACAGGTAGAGTAGTAACAGAAATCTAAGCTAGAAATGGAATATATTAAATTTATTATGTTATCTGTGGGAAATAGAGAGATGACAGTGAATGTATTAAGTTGAGCTGTTTATGTTTTTTACTTCGGAATGTTTGTTTACCCAAACACCACGGTGTGTCTTAAGTACTTTTTGTTAAAATTAAAAAACCAATAAAATATATTTTTTTTAAAAAAAGAATGAGTACATGAAATTTTGCAATTTCAACAACTGGATTTTTTGCAGGAAGTGACCATGTAATCTAGGGATTCAAGATGCTGCTGAAAAACAACTTGGAGCATAGTCATATACTACATATACTGAACATCAGGACAACCAATTTCAAAAGCTGTAGAGAAATATACGTAGAACTACTTGACTTTCAGTTCAAAGGGAACTCAGGAGAGTTGGGAATTTCTGAAAATAAAGATACTAGAACTACGTTTATCACCCATTCCAATGAGATGGGACAGTTTGCAAAACCAATGTATATACAGTTTTAACAGTGTTAAGAGTTAAATGACCAGAATAAAAGATCTATAATCACTGTTGTATTAGAAAGCAGCTATCTGCAGGAAAACAATATTGTAAGGTCAAAAGAAATTTAGACTTTAATGTCAATAGAAAAAGAGGTGGGTTCATTACTAGCAGAAGATAAAAGATAGTAATAAATGAAGGTCATAGGAATAATGACCCAAGGAGATAGTTTGGGGAACACCTGACTGTTGTGATTCCAGGAGACCAACTGGTAAACTTGCTTTATGGTACCTTATGGTATCTTGCCACATATTTCAACACTTCTGCCCCTTCTTCTTATCAAAATCTTTGATAAACTGAAATCAATACAGAATAAAAGTTGGAAGGGACCTTGGAGATTTTCTAATCTAACCCCCTGCTCAAATAGGAGACCCTATATACCATTTTGGATACGTGGCTGTCAAAACTCTTCTTAAAACTCTCCAGGGATGGAGCACCTGCAACTTCTGGAGGCAAGCCATTCCACTGATTAATTGTTCTGTCAGAAAATTTCTCATTTCTCTCTTTGATAAGTTTCCATCCGTTATTTCTTGTTCTGACCTTAGATACTTTGGAGAATAGGTAGAACCCCTCTTCTCTGTGACAGCCCCTCAAATACTAGAAGACTATTATCATCACCCCTAGTCTTTCTCTTCATTAGACTTGGCATACCCAGTTCCTACAACCTTTCATGTTTTAGTCTCCAGTTCCCTAATTATTGTTCTTCTGTACATTTTTTCGAGAGCCTCAACATTTTTTTGGGACCGTGATGATCAAAAGATGCAGTATTCCAAGTGTAGTTCTATTAAAATAGTATAACATGGCACTAACTCTTCAGGTGACCTTGATACTATCCTGTTGATGAAGCCTAGGACCGCATTGGCTTTTCTGGCAACTGCAGCCCACTGCTAGCTCATACTTAAGTGGTTCTCCACTAGGACTCCTAAACCCCTCTCACAATTACTACTGTTGAGCCACGTACAACCCATAGCTGTCTTTTGATTTTTCTTGCCTAAATGTAGGACCTTACTTTTCTCACCTCTGAATTGCATTTTGTTGGATAGGGCTCAATGTTCAAGTCTTGTCAAGCAAATGCATGAGGAATAAATAGGAAATATTTGTAGGCATTACTCTTATTCTTAATGTTCTATATCAGCGGTTCTCAACCTATGGGTCGCGACCCCATTTGGGGTCGATCGACCATTTTACGGGGGTCGCCAAATAATGCGATCCGCCATTTCCCCCCCTCAGGGGCCGCCGCGCGTGGGGGGGATGCGCGCCACGCGTCGGGGGCACTGCGCATGCGTGGCACGTTTGTGTGACGGGGGTCGCCGTCACACAAACGTTGAGAAACGCTGTTCTATATTCTATCCTGTAAAACCATTCCTAGGCCTTTTAGAAAAAGGAAGATAGTGGGCAGTGTATTTTTTTTTCTATTATTGGTTAGTGACAAATAGTACTTCCAAGTTCTGTAGTTTTCTCCCACTTGATGTAGATTTCAAAACGCCTTATGTCAGGGGTCTTCAAACTTGGCCCTTTTATGATTTGTGGACTTCAACTCCCAGAATTCCTCAGCCAGGGTGCCTGGCTGAGGAATTCTGGGAGCTGAAGTCCACAAGTCATAAAAGGGCCAAGTTTGAAGACCCCTGCCTTATGTACTTGAAAAAACAGTAAATATACACCCAAAAAGAACATGCACAGGTGTATGGTAGCAATGTGGTATGTTTATAGTGTAATTCTACATTTTTCTATATCCCAAAATCTGTGAAATCAACTCGAAGAAACATGTTAGAATTGGGACATAACAAAAACCTGTATTGGCATGGATCAAAACTGGCAGCAATAGTTTCTCCACTGCTCAAGGCTGCATGAGTGATGTCTGCATTCTCTATTGGAGTGACGAGGCTCATCTGCGCGAACCGTCTGGGGTAAGAGGTGGAGAGAAGGGCACCTGAGCGCGCGCGCCAAGCCGCAACTTGGCTGGAAGCAGGAGAAGCTTATGAGGCCAAGTCAACAAATCTTCCCAGACTAGATACGCTGAAGCACAGAGACTATGGCGGGGGACAGCGAGCAGCAACCTCAGCGCTATCGCGAGTTCGTTGGTGGAAAAAAGCCTTTCCTCATTGGACTTAGCGGGGGAACAGCCAGTGGCAAGGTGAGCAGTTCCATTGCAAGGTGGATAATAAAAATGCAGCAATACTTTCCAGAGCTGGGCAACGCGCCTCTTAAGACCCACTAAAGTTCCTCTCCCAGATGTTGACATTACTGACATTAAACACTAGATTTGGGATTAAATATAGCTGCTCCTATGGGTGAATAGTATTTTTTTATTACACGCAGCGCGTGTGTGTTTGTGTGTGCAATGTTTCTACCACGTGCGCAAAATAATTTAGTTCTCAAATTAATCCCGTACACGTGTTTTGGGAGGCACTTCCTTCCTGTCCTGTCGATGCACCGGCGGTGTGTGTGGGGGGAGAAACATGACGCGAGTAGACCAGTACATCCGGATTTTGCTCTTTGCAATCGCTCGAGAGATTCCCGAGAATCTTAGGTGCAGGAAGTGGCGCAAAGAAGATCTAACTGTCCTTGCGATCCTGCAAAGTGACTCCATCCCAAAACGTGCCTTCAAGTTTTCACCGACACTTGCTCTCTTACAATATCCTTTTTTTTAAAAAAAATGTTTTTTTACATAATCACCTTAATATTTAGTAAACATTGTGTTGTCTGGGTTTATGTTTAAAACAATAAAAATTAGTTTGTATAATTCTATAGTCCACATAATAGCTTTGCTTGATGTTCTCTTCTTCCAAAAATGTTCTCTTTTGCCAATCTTGAATTAATAACAATTCTTATTATTTAGGTAAATAACAAATATAAACATTCTTCTAATATTTCTGCAAATAATAACAACATTGATATAAAGCTTTTCTAACTGATCATCTTGATTGCCTTATCATAGATCCTGTTTAAAATTCTTATTTAAGTTTATTTTCCCCACAATATTTGAAACATTCTTACTGGTTAAAATTTTCATTACACTTAAGTATTTAAGTCTCCAACACTTTTAGTTTCTTGTATCTTAAAAAAAAAAAACAAGAAAAGAAAAGAAAAAGAAATAAGAAGATAGTATACTTACTACTTAAAATACATATCCCTCTTAGACTAATGTACATTTATAACCAGAATTTTTCTCTTCTTTTTAACCATATTCAAGCATATGTTTAATCTTTTAAGTCAGGGGTGTCAAACTCAATTTCACTGAGGGCCACATCAGGATTGTGGTTGACCTTGGGGGGCTGGGTGGGCGTGGTTGAGGTGGGCGTGGCCAGCTCAACATCGCTTGTGTTGGAGGTCACCTGTGTGGTCTGGGCGGGGCTGGGGGGGATCCAGCCTGGTCGAGCTCCCAGGGCACAGGGACCCCACAGCCCAACCCAGCCCAGGCCAGCCCTGCTGTCCCAAGACGGTGTCCTGCTGTGCTTACCTCCTCCTCGAAGCTGCTGCTGCTGTTCTTGCTCTCCTTGGCCAATTTGCTCATGATGTGTGGGAGGGCAAAGTATGTGGGTCAGAGGGAGGCCCACTCCCTCTCCATGTGAGGAAACCTGGCTTTGTAACTAAAGTATCCTCAGCAATAGGATGGGAGACCACCAGGAGAGATCAGGAGGAGGAGACAAGGGGATGGCAAAAGGGCAGCAAGGCTGCTGGTGGCGAAGTGCTAAGGCAACACTTCCCTTAGACCTTCTGTCTCTCTCATTGTAATCTCTCATTGTTAACCGCCCGGAGTCCTGCGGGAGTGGGGTGGTCTATACATTTTAATAAATAAATAAATCCCCTTCCTTCCTTCCTTTTTCCCTTTTCTTCTTTTTCCTTCTCTCTTTATTCTCCTTTTTTTCTTCTTCCTTCCCCTCTTTCCTTCTTTTTTCTTTGTCTTTCCTCTCTCCCTTTCTCCATCCCTTCTTGGATGCTCAGATGCAAAGGGGGAAACATTTCTGGATGCTTTCTTGCTTTGTGATCAAATGCCACTTTTGCTAGTAGTTTGTGGCCACTTAAAAGACTGAGAACAAACCAGGCTCAGTTTATCCTGTGCTTGCTTTTAGTGGGGGTGTCCGCAGACAACAGTACAGCAAAACTGTCAAAATGGTGGCTGTGATAGTTAATAAGAGCTCCTCTGTTTTTTATGTGGAACAGCTTTATCTTTTATGAGCAGAGGTAGGTTAGTTGTTTTTCTATTAATACATAATCCTTAAAAGAGCTATCCTGTAAGGAGCCTGCCTTGGTCTAATTCAGACTGGAAATATATCAAAGGAAAATATTTTCCCCACTCTGCTTTGTCCTGCTTTCCCCACTGGAAATGGCTGTTTGCAACATATAAGGAGGGGATACTTTCTTAAGAGCTCACAATTGAAGAATACCAATGTTAACTTGGATTGCCAACTAAGTTCTGTCTGTGACAAAACAGAACACAAAATAGCTTTCTCCTTGGAACTGGGGCATTTCCAACCGAATTGCCTCTCCTTCCCTGACTCCTTCCTTCCTTCCTTCCTTCCTTCCTTCCTTTCTCTCCTTGCTTTTTTTTAAGCTGCCAGAGGCTCCAGGCAGAAGTGGCAACAGGAAGCCAGCGGTGGGCAAAGGCTCCCCCCCCCGTCATTGCCTCTGCATGGCTTAGCTCACCTCTCCCAGACCCACGCAGTATGTTTGTGGCTGGTGAGCGGGGCATGGAGGTGTTAGTGTGAAGAAAGGTGAGCAGCAGCCTCAGCGGCAAGAAGGGCTGTCAAAAAGAGCAGAGTCTGTGTGTTCTGCCTGCTACAAGCTCACCTGTCAGCCTTTTCTTTCCATGCCTTGGATCAGCTGTAACGTGCCATGGAGAGCTTGGCTGACCTGGGCAAGGCAGGTGTGCACACAGACTGCTGTTTTCAGTGGGTGCTTTGGCGCCTGGCCCAGCAAAGTGGAGCCAGGCGTAGTGAGATGTGGCCTGGCAAAGCAGAGCCGGACAAGGAGAGACCCAATAAAACGGGGCATGGCCGGGTGTGACGGGCGAGGCTGGGAGGAATGGGGTGTGGCCAGGCTAGGCCAGGTGGGGTGGGTTGAGACAAATGAGCTGCAGCTGCTCCTGCGTACCATCAGTCTCCGAGCGCTCACCATTTCCTGTGCGTGTGCCGGGAGGTGCCCAGTCTGGTTGGGGTGGGCCAGGGCTGGGCCAGCGGGTGCTGGTCCCTTGCTATTTCTGGAACAGCTCCAGGGGGAAAATTTGGGCCCTTGGCAGGCTGTATCTGGCACGCGGGCCTTGTGTTTGACATATCTGTTTTAAGTGTTCCATTTAATAAATCTAATTATCTAATCTTTTAGATCTAATCAAAACATTTTTATCCATTCACAGTATTCCCTCTGATAGATCCCATCATCTAATTTCTTGATTCTCATTTTAGCCTTTTTTCTCAGACATCTTTCCTGATCAATATGTTTCTCTGAATCAAGGAGTTTTCCCATAGTCTTACATATGTTATTGTAGGTACAAAGGGCAAATCAGATGAGATGTTTTTATAGGAAGGTTTCACCCCTTTGTATTCATTGAAATTTTTTTTCCTTTCTCCCTTAATTTCTCTTATCATTTTTTGTCTCTTAAATTCTGTAATCCACTTTGTCAAATCTTTTTTCTTGTCCTCAGACTTATTTTGCAATCTCAGAGAATATGTTATCTTTTCCATGCCCATTATTTCCTGTAATTTTTTTTCTACCTGGGTTTAGTTATACTTCCTTTCGTTATTAGGTTCCATCTTTAAATCTCTCTCCTCTGGTTCATCAGTTGTCTGTTTTATCTGCTCACTCTTTATTTTTATTTTCTGAGAGTTTTTTTGTTGTAAAGTTAAATTGGAGATGTATTCATTTATATTTTCAAAGTTATTTTTAATTTTCTTGTGGTTTGAAATCATACTTTCCTCCTGGAAAGTATTCATTTTTTCTTGGTATATTCTTTCTGCAGATCTTTGGTTTTCCATAATAGCCCAAAATCAGGCTTTTCGTTTCTCTGTAGACAGCTTTAAAGTCACAGCTGAATAAGTATTTGTAATTCAGAAAGGTCAATTTTTTTTCTTCTAAAGTTTATAATTCTTGCTTTGTAGGTAGCCCAAGATATTTTTTCTTTTTTTTTTGTCACAGCTGCTCTCTGTTTTTAAGACACTGAAGGTCACCAGCAACAAGTTTTCTTTTCCTGGGCTTTGCCAATTCCTATATTAAAGTAACTACAATATGTTCATCCAGTACTAGATGTCAGCACTAGTTTGTTTTTCAGTTTTCAGTTTTCAAATAAAGTTATTTTCTTTCTTTCAGAGTTATTTTCTTCTATTTTCATGCTTTAACAGGGAAATCTTAATACATTCATTTCATTTCAGTATATTTCTGTCCCTACTTAAAGGTTTAATTTGCCGCTTCCGTCTGCAGGAGGGTGGGACAAAGATCCCCCTCCTTCTCACTTTTGGAGGCTTTTTCCTTCTTGGGGTTTTTTTCCCCCAGGAAATCACTTATCAAGTAGAAGAGAGAAAATCAGTGTTATTACTGAGTTCCAAGCACATTATTTACAATCAGCTTAAAATAGTGCTTTTGGGCTTTGGCTGCTTGTAGCACGGGCTAGACCAGTGATGGCGAACATATTAGAGACCGAGTGTCCCAAAACCGCCCTCTGTCCCTGCTCCGCTTCCCACCCTGCCTGCTCCGCCCCCTGTGCCCGGCCTCCCAGCCACGCACCACCTCCATGGCCCTCTGATCACCCAGGCAACACTGCAGCGCCATGGCAGCCACACCCTCTGCTCACACCCCGCAGCATCTGCACGCTACGGGATGCGAGGGCAGAGTCTTCTCCCTGCTGCCCAGCTATGTCCTTGGCTGTGCTGCTCTGTGCGGGCTGCACCTGGGGGTGGCTCTCCTCCAGGGGGGCTGCTGGTGAGGAGGGGGCTGCGGGAGGAAGTGGGGCTGGAGCGATGGCACGCATGTCCACAGAGAGGGCTCTGAGTGCCGCCTCTGGCATGCATGCTATAGGTTCGCCACCACTGGGCTAGACCCTGAAATTAAGCTAGCCTTTCTCCTGTTGTTTTCTGGAGGGCTTTTTCCAGACCGATCGGATCAATCACCGTCTCTTTGCACTCGGCGGGACTTCCCTCCTTCTTTATCGCATCTATGGGATGACTTCAGGCCCATTTAGGCTCTAACAGGACCTAACAGACAGAAATTGGCCGTAGGA